TGCTCTAATTTATGTTGGTCGCTACAGCACCCCCCTGCCAGTGATAAAGTCACGAAAATGAACCTTGGTAGCGGTCAGGAAATCGAACTCGCCGACCTGATTTAGTACGTTCTTCGGTTGTACATCTGTTTTCATGAACTGGCGTGGATTGTTTAACAGGTCTAATTTCGCTTTCTCCAGGGTTGTCATCTTGCAGGTTGTCAGCCAAAACGTAAGCTGGTTTCAGGCGATCAATAGAAATTGGTATTTGGCGTCCTCCCAAATCGACCATGAACTTCTTTGGTGCCTTAGAAAGTACTTTATAGGGACCTTCGTATGGCTGTTGGCAGGGTCCTTTTGGACCGTCGCGGCGAACAAAGACGTATTCGCAGGTCTCTAGAGCTTTGAAAACGAATGTTGCTTTTTTTCCATGTCTTGTGCCGCTCACAGGACGCAACTGTTCCATTTGCTGACGTAGCGATTGTACGAATTCTTCCTCGCCGCTTACTGTGGTGGATCGATTCAAGAATTCTCCAGGAAGTCGTAATGATTGTCCATAAACCATTTCCGCTGTGGTAGCTTTCAGATCCTGTTTCCATGAGGAGCGAATTCCTAACATGATGGTTGGCAAGGTTTCCGTCCAGCGTTGGTTGTCATGGCACTTGATAGCAGCCTTAAACTGCCTGTGGAACCTTTCCACCATGCCGTTTGCTGCAGGATGGTACGCTGTCGTTTTAAAATGTTGCGTGCCTAGGAGGTTGTTCAGTTGTTTGAATAGATGAGACTCAAACTGCCTTCCTTGGTCTGTCGTTATCCGGAGTGGCGTTCCAAATCTTGCAATCCAATGCGTATAAAATGCTCTTGCAACGGTGATAGCTTCTTGGTTTTCTAACGGAATTGCTTCAGGCCATCTAGAAAACCGGTCGACGCAAGTTAAGCAGTACCTGCAGTTCTCCGACATTGGCATTACTACTATGTCCATATGGACATGATCGAACCTTTGAGACGGTAGTTCGAATACCCCAGGTGTAGTAGATACATGTCGACTAACTTTTGATTTCTGACACTCCAGATAGCTTTGGGCCCATAATCTGCAATCCTTCTTAATGGAAGGCCAAACGAAGCGTTGGGTGACCAATTTAATTGTAGCCTTGACTCCAGGATGGGTTAGTCGATGTACCGTGTTGAAAGCTAACTTCTAAAATTGCCTGGGAATGAACGGTCGAACTAAGTTTGCTGAAACATCGCACATTAGAGTAATATTGCTATATTGCCAAGATTAGCAATAAACGAATAGGGATTTAGAATACGTGCACCAAAGGGACACCGGTTGTCTGATCAAGCTGTACACTAATTGATCATCCAGCCGGTTTGAAACCCTTTTTACGTGTCGGAACATCACTGATAAAGCGTCGTCGTAATCGGATTGTTCTTTTAAAAATTTTAAAAACAGTGTCCGACTATGCTGAAGACATTTGCTATCATAAAGACTTCGATGACAAAGCGGCCGGTAAGTTATTTTATTTTGTTTAATTTAAATATACAAGAGATTCTTCCCCTTCTTCAAGCATCTACTTCTACTTTTACCCTAAAAAATTGTTTTCCACTGGTTTTTGATCTAGAGCTTAATATTTTTACTTACCCCTTCCGGTACGAATCGACCAAAATCAATCCAGATATGGTCATCTAGTCCACAACAGAGAGATTGTCCCTTTTCGGAACTTCAACCTTTTAATTAATTTTTTATTGATAAAAGTAACACCTTACTTTTGTCTTCTTTTCTTTTGGCATTATTTCTGTATTGTTTAACGTTGAATATCAAATGAGATTATTTTGATTGACATATAAAAGTAACACATACCCACTTTAAAATAGTGTAATAAAAACCTTGAATGGACTAGGACAGGGATGGCAAACCAATGGCACGCGTGCCATTAGTGGCACGCGACACAATATTTTGGGCACATCACTAATATCAATCATAAAGTCTAGTTCAATATGGATCCAAAACATTATTGAAACAAGGAAACTACTTGAAACAGAAAAATTGGCAAGTGATACAAGTGAAAATGCTACTAACAAAATTTTGGAAACATGAAATGCGTTACCAAACACTTTTAATTGTTTGAAGAAGCTGGCTTATGCTATTTTAACAATGTTTTTTCCTCAACCTATGCCTGCGAGTCATTATTTTCAGAGATGAATAACATTAAAAACTCGGTTAGAAATCGTTTGACAGGTACATATTAAAAGGTA